TCAGTCTTCAAATTCTCAGCTATCGTTTGGAAGACTGGAAGAAGCATCTAGTCGCCGGCCAATTTTCTCGCTCTCAGAGGTCTCGAAGGCCATAAAAAGAGTTAAAAGTGAATTACTCAAAAACTACTTTAATTACAAATTAGTTATCTCTAAAGCACAACGCGGCCACCTATTTGGCAGATTATGTAACACAAGACTTTTGACTGCCTGAAATGTCTGGATCACCTCATCGAAATACAACCATTATGTGCATATTGACATTCTTGGTTTTTCCGACGAATTTAAGTGGGGTAATAATTGTCTTCAGCATTGGAGGTTGAATCTTATGAGTATGAGTGTCCAATGATGTGCCTCTAAGATTTCATGACTGGAAGGTTGTGAGCTGTCAGAAACTAAACGTCCATGTCAGACAGGCTAACGGTATCGAAGCGCAACCCTTAAACTATTCTTATTTTAAATATTCACTACTGACGCTTTTAACTTTCGGGACACTAATGCTCTTCTTTAGTCAGATGATCTCAATATGTGGAGGGAAATAGTTGGTCCAGATAATATTTCGACTCTTTGGAAAACCCCTTACAGGAAATACGACTAGACTATTTGAGAAACTCCTTTTAGTGCCAGAGAAGGCAGGGTACTATTGATAAGTAGTATTAATACTGTATCCCAGACGTATATCCTAGGCGATCCTTCTATCTCACTTTAAACAACTCAAATGAACGTGGGTACCGCCCTCTGTAATACTCTGATCTTATCTTTCCACTAGCATTTCCCAGCTAATAAAGCATACTTGTAATATTTCTTGTGAGAACACTTGCCTCCTGAGCTTCGAAATGATTTTAAATGTTTTTCGGTGTTTGTCCAAGGCTTCATCTCGAAAAATCTCCTACATGATTTTCCTTTACCTAAAAAATAATATTACCCTCTTGAAATGTTTTCAAAAGAGAACGACTGAGAAGGTACTTAGGCCGCGAAGTAAATTCTTCGTAGTTGGCTTGAAAGCTAACCCACAATCGGTACACTGGAGGACAAATGTGTTGAATATGATGATGAGGTACCAAACTACTCATAGGCCCCTCATCTGGACAAACCACTTATACATCTTAGTAATGTATCAAACATGGGGAGGCACCCACCCGAGATACTGACTTCTCTTGAACCATTTTACTACTTAGACCATGATATGTCCAAGATTCTCTACCCGAATTTTGTGAGGTGGCATTTAAAATATGGGATTCAAGAAGCGAGTCCTTGCCACAAAACTGAAGTGGATATGCTAGATAAAAATTGAACGGTGAGCAGCAAAAATGTTGAACGATCTCGCTGGCCTATTTTATTTAGATGAACTGAAACGTCTCAGTCTCTTTCCTTTACCCCACATTATGTTTCGAAACGATTTAATACTGGGTTATCGTATACCGAACGATAATCATGATATTAATATGTCTTATCTTTCTCTTTAGTCTAGAACTTATAATTTGAACGAGCATTTTAAGAAGTTTCAAAAACTGAAATCAAATCACTTACGTTTGTAGTTCCGTTTGTGTCACCGAGTACTGAAGTACTTAAATTCCCTATCAGGATGGGTAATGTCAACACCTTCTATTGTTACATTTAAAGCAAATGGTTCAAATGGTTCAAATGGTTGTGGACGGAATAGAAGAAGCTTTCGCTTAACAGGCTTCCGTGTCTAGTATCAGGGGATCACCAATACCTCCAGGCAAGAACCTAGGTATTTTAACGATAAAAGAGAAAGAAAATGAATTGGTAAATCATAGTAGGGTACTATCGTTAGTCCTTAAGAATAGATCAAGTCGCCTCTTAAAGGACTCCTGGGAAGTTGCTTGGACTAGCTCAGCTGGCAGCGAATTCCAGCATTTGACAACTCTTAAGGAATAGAAGTTGTGTCTGCAGTCCGTTCTACTATGTTGTATTTCCAGTTTCTGGATGTTACCCCTTAGGTTAGTGTTGAGACTAAGCTTAAGTAGGTGTTTAAGAGGATGTCCAGGTGTGTTAAGGATGCTGTAAGCCATTAGAAGGTCACCTCTAAGATGCCTATACTCTAATGGGTAAAGGTCGAGTGATTGGAGGCGCTCATCGTAAGGTTTAAATTTGAGTCCCCCAAATAATTTCGTGGCTCGCCGTTGGATACGCTCCAGAGTGTCCTTATCCTTTTGGAGTGTAGGAGGAAATACTATGTTTCCGTACTCTAAATGGCGACGAATGAAACTATTGAAGATTATGCGGAAACTTCTCCCGTCAAACTGACCAAAAATGCGCTTCAATGTTACCAGTGCCAGGTTTGCTCGAAAGGCATTTCTGTCACAGTTGGTGTAAGACTTTAAGTTGTAGGGCACCAGGACTCCTAAATCTTTTTCGAATCGGGATACTACTAGAGAGGAGTTTCCTAAGTTGTAACTGTAATCTGCGACGTGTCGCAGATGGACTACTTTACACTTTGAAGTGTTAAAGGTAAGTCCGTTATCGTCTGCCCAACTTTGAAGTCGAGTCAGATCCCCCGAAGTGCCTGTATGTTATCTTGGTTGCGTATCTCTATCCAAGGTTTCGCGTCATCGGCAAAGAACAATAAGTCTGACGTTACCTGTTGAGGAAGATCATTTATATAAATCAGGAAGAGAAGAGGTCCTGATACTAAGCCCTGGTGGTCCCCACTAGGACATTCCATAGCGTATGAGAAATTGAAGTTCACCCTGACCTTAAAATGTCGATTTGTCAGATATGAACTGAGCCAGTCAATTAGAGGTGGTATGATATCCAATTGTCTGAGCTTGTTAATAAGACAGATTTGGTTAACCCTATCAAAAGCTTTAGAGAAATCAAGGTAAGTGATGTCTACCTTCCCCTTGCGATCAACGATGCTTGTCCATCTGTCCACCGCAGTCAGCAGGTTCGTCATACAGGAGTAACCCTTCCTGAAACCATGCTGTTGAGGTGAGAAGAAATTTAAGGACAGCAGATAGTCGTGCATACCATCGAATACCAGAGACTCCATGATCTTTGAAGGTATAAAGATAAGAGCGACCGGTCGGTAACTTGAAGGTTTGCTGCGTCGACCTCCTTCGAAAATTGGTGTGATTTGAGCCAGCTTCCAATTTTCCAGTGGTTTGCCTCGACTTAGCGAGTGTGAGAACATCACGCTGAGCGGTGTTGCCAGGATTGAAGCTGCTTCCCTCAGTATAGCAGAGTGGACCATATCTGGACCAGGAGAAGTGTCTGTTCTTAGGTGTTATAGTTTACGGAACACCAAGTCAGCACTCAGTTTCACTACGGAAAGTCCTGTGCAGTTGCAGATAGAGCCGTCATCCGTATAGTTGATGTGGGTCGGTTGAAATGTCCGGGAATATTGCTCAGCCAGAAGGTTAGCGGCGTCAACGTCATTATCGGTCGGGCCGTTAGGACCTAGCAGTTGAGATACTCCCGTTTTGGCTTGACGAAGAGAGGCTGCGTAACGGAATAAGCTTTTCGGATTGGAAATAAATTTATCCATAAGCTTTAACTGGTACTGAAGCCTGTCTTCTCTTATAGCTTTCGTACATATGTTCCTTATATGTTTGTATTGCCTGTACTCGCCGTTGTTGTTGGTTCGTTTGTATTCTGCCCAACGGTGCCTTTTGCAGCTTAGCAAACGAAGAGTGTGGTTTTTGATGATTGTAGGTTGCTTGTGCCTTTTGGGGACCGTTTGAGGAACTGACTGCTTTGTAGCACATAAGAGCGTGTGCAGTAAGAAGTCCCAATGAGCATCCACATCAAGTTGAGGGTGAACGTCCCAATCCACCTGTTGTAGATAGTCCTGTACAGCTGACACATTCAACCGTTTGAAATTCCGGTGCCTGTTGTTGTTGGGATATCTTAGCTCAGTTTCGCTGACGAAACTGAAGCATATAACGGCGTGATCGCTTTTCCCCAGGGGAGTCAGAATTGAGAGGTTGTCGACTAGAAATTCTTAATTTGTAAAAACACAGTCTAAACGCGACGGTGTCTGACTGTTCCTCCAACGAGTAGCCAAATTCACATTTTCGTGTAGTCCCAAATCCTCAATGAGGTTGAAGAACCGAGCTTCGATTGAATTTTCACCTCCAGTATACGTATGTTCCGCGAAGTTGACTCTAGGGAGATTGAAGTCCCCTAGAATCAGGATATGAGTGCATCCGAGACGCGTAGAGCGGGATAGTCCTTCCAGCATGCGACTGTCATACTCGACGTCGGCAGTGGGCTTCCTATATATGACTCCGACTAGGCACCTCGAAGTAGTGGACAATCTCATAGAGCACCATATAGATTCCTCAAGATTGTCAAACTCATGGTTGTGAACTTGGTGTACCTCCAAGCTAGATAGTATGTATAGGGCTACTCCACCCCCAAGTCCTGTTTTTCTGTCATTGCGAAACAGAGACATCCCAGGTATTGCTAACTCCTGGTCCGAATACTGAGGAGATATCCAAGTTTCAGATATTCCTATCAGATGAACCTTATTAGCGTTGCTAAGTTCACTTAGTTCATCCATTTTATTTGGTAGACTCGCGGCGTTCATGTATAAGCAGTTAATGCTTTCAATTTGAAACGCGTGAGCTTCTTCCTGTTTGTCTGTGAGAGCCTTCCGTGAGTGGACAGGTAACCCACCTGATTGGATCTTCGAATCACCGAAAATTGCAAAGAATAATAAGGGCGAATCAGTCGCTTATATTTACTCTAGAAGACTAGGTAAGTCGAGAAGTGTTTTATTTAACCAGGCTAGTTGTTACGGCCTCATGGTACGGCGTATCCACTCGTAGTTTAATGCGGTTAGGTAGCCGAGCGTCTTCAGATAGGATATGTCAAAAACAACTGATGGCGTCAGCATATATTTCAAAGACTTGAAGAACTATTTATTTGATTGCTTTATTTACCGCTTCAGTATCATTGAATCTTGGATGTTCAACCTTGATATAAATAAAAGTAATTCAAAACACTAGCAACTGAAATTCTTCAAGGATCCCAACATGACTAGTTGGCGTAGTCTGATAGATGAAGCTTTATCAGATGAGGGGGTCATTGATAAAATAAAGTCCTCTATTCGTAGAGAGGACGCTGATATAAATAAATTAACAAAGTTTGAGCTACTGGAAATTCTTAGGTCTACGGGTGTAATTGACATGCTGGTTTCTAAAATAAAGTCTAAAGAACAGTCCAAGATTTTCTCCAGAGGTCATGATAGCTCCGTGGGTACGCACGAGGGTTCTAAAACATATGCTTCAATCAATACGAGTTCTACTGCAGTATTAGTAGTGGAGGTTCTACAGGGGAGAGCGTTTACGAGTCACCTTCAGACTTATGGAGACATAGAAATTGAGGAATCTAAGTGCTCCGACATCAATCTGCAACTGCATATCACCTACAAAGACTGCAGGTTTTCAAGTAAACTTTTCCAACGCACAACGGAGCCTATTATCAATCAGATCTTTTGTTTTGAGCTTATTTCTGAAAACATTAGCAAGGGACGAGATGTAAGTATAAATATAAGTATTGGTTGTATTTTTTCAAAGATAGTGCAGATATTTTCGTTGGCTATTGGGGATCTCTGAGGTATATGTTTTACAAAGGCACATAGTTCATTGAATTCGTGAATTTGTTCTCGAAATATATTACAATATTTAAATATATTTGTGAGTGATATATTATAACATCTATACCAATTTTACGTATCAGCCTAGGTCGATTTGAGAGCTCTCAAACGGAATAGGCCCGTCTACTTAACAGTCTACTTTACCTATACATCGAACTGTATCTCAAATACATATACGATTGATAAAGATGTAAAGAAGAAAGGATTACATAAATCGTGATGAAAAATTGCCTCCAACTTTCCTTGATTTGCTCTCCATGTAACATTTCCGGGTAAAGATTGCCGAAAGTCCACCACTTGATACGGTAAATGAAACTTATAAGTAAGTAATTCGACCTCAGTGTTAAACTTCCGGGGGAAACCAGTCTTTGAGAAAGAAAATAGTTACGACAGAGTAGTACGAAAGTCACTGTTTTATTCTGTTAGTTGACCGTTGAGCACAATCTTTGAAAGAATTTGGCACAAGTCTCGCATTCTCGTTATACATAAATACTTTAGTTAGTTAAAAAGTGCTTCGGGGTTTTTTAATCTTAACGTAGTGTAAGGACAAGATATAAACTGTATTTTGTTGAAGAGAAAACGTTCTCTGTTGTCTGTATGATAGATGACTTTCGTTTGTTTATTTGTGGGTTAGACGGGACTTTAGACGACTTTTAAATCATTGACTCTAGTGTTTCAGTTTATTATAGGAACCGCCAATTCTGCCCTAGGTAACATTCGATTACTAGTTTGGACTAATGAAGCTATGAACTTTGTAGTTGCGTCTGACATTTCGCGTTTAAATCTCAATTTTATTTGTTAATGCTTTCAGAAACTTACAGCAGCCTGTGTGAAAAATTACAAAGCTTTTTTAAATCTTAGTCAATGTCCTACAGATTTTCATAAGCCTCAAGACTAATTAACCATAATTATAACAAATGTACCTTTTACACTGATGATATATTTGTCCAGTCACTCGATTGATCACATTTATACTCGCTAAAAATCGAACTACTCAAATGCTTTGACATAACCGTTTTGAAAACTGGTTTTTCTTGCTCTTGTGCTACCCTTCATATTTTAATATTATTTGCTTAAAACGAAAACAACAGTCCCATGTGGTAAGCAAGGTTGCTTAAACTAACAAAAACAGTGCATCACTCAAACGTGTTGCGTGAGAAAATTTAATTAACATTACTTTTCAGTTGAAAAATTCAAAGCTTAATATTTCTGGTTACCAGTCCAAAAGATTTAGGAAAATCAAGTAAAACTAGATATATTTCTAACCAGTGACATCAGTAGAGAAAGAAATATAAACTGGTACAATCTAAATACTTATGGAACATATATATATATATATATATATATATATACGAAGACCCGTTTTAGTCTATCTTCTTAGGGTTTGAAGATGTAACGAAAGGTTGGCAACTTTATTTTATACGGAACAAGATATTTATCAACAATATACATGTTTTGCTGTTTTCCTTAAGGTGACACCTGGAAATTTGCTGTTCGATAAACCAGTTTCTTCTGTACAAATAGTAATCACATCAAACACATCAACTGGAAAACGAAGTTTGGTTTCATCAACCTACTTTGACTGGCGTCCATATTTCATGGGCAATTCTAAATGTAAAGAAGTAAACTTAAACCACTGGACTAATAACGTATCCATAGAACTACAAAGTACCGATCCAGATTGTAATGTAAGTTGGTAACTTTTCTCAACACTTTAGGCACTTATTAAATGGGTAGCCTTTTTAAAAATTAAATGCTCGTAGATTTGGCCTAAATAATTAAACATTTTTCAATGAAAGTAAAGCAAATTACTGGGTTAAACGTTTCATTTATTTATTAAGGCCGGGATTTGTGTGATATATTTCAGGAGTTATTTGACTGTGACGTAGAAATTAGTAAGCCAGTAATTTCTGAGTTCTCACTTTCCTGATGCAGAGGTAAAAGTTTGAAAGCATCAAGATAGTAACAAGTGGACTGAACTTAGGCATTCAAATAAAGTTGATTCTAGTTAGTACCGCTCACTATCTCCATTCCTTACCGTCTTTTTTTCTGAGACTATTTGGTGAAATCCAATGTATTTGCCTTTATCGATTTAGAATGTTCTCTAACTCTAATTTTATTTATCTTGAGTGTCACAATGATTATAAATATAGGTATTCCTGATAAATTTAAGCCATGCAGAAAGTACAGAATGTTAATGTTCTTTTAAAGAAGTTATATTGAACGAGAGATTAAGGTATATTAAGTAAGCTTTTAGTCTTTAATACTAGTTCATCACTACCGTAATTGTCAAAGTTAACTTACAAACTATGAACTGCTAGATATTTGTCAATATGTTTAACCTATTTTTATTTAAATGAGTTGACACTACAATCAATTTGTTAAAAAAATTTTAGGCATTTCAATCCTGAAATTATGGTATTTATCGAAAAATACCATTAGCTTTATGTCTTTTAGTTTGAAATTTCATTAAGTTGCTGAGTTGACTAACCATTATCTGTGATGTACGATGAAGGGTTTGTGAGTCATACGAGTCATAATCATACAAATTAGCACAAGCGTTGTCATATTAGTATTTCTTATGCTATATTCCTCAGTAAATACATAAAATAATAGAATTTTGAAAAATCCAAAGCAACAACACGTTTGGTTAAGCACCAAGCTTTATAAACCGGATATATTTCTTATCGATGAGTTCAGAAGTGTACTAAAGTAAGTAAACTGTTTTTATCAACTACGGATAAGTACGAAACACAACTTAGTCTATATAATAAAGTGGTTCTTATGAAATTTAATTAACAAAAAAACCAAAGAACAAAAGCACAGGTTAATTTAATTTCAATTCATTGGCTCTTTAAACAAAAACCACTCTCGGTTATTCACAATATCAATTCTAGTACCTTTGCGTCTTTAGGACCACATCTCATTGACTGTAAGATCTCTAGTTTGCAACTGACCACAGTGTCAATGGAATTAAATTGTGAAGATTTTCGAGTCATGATAATGAATCAGTTCATTATTGCAAGTGCTTTTCTATAGTGTTAGAAACGTTTCATCAAATTAAATTTTTATAGGTACCTGCGGGTGTTCTTGATTTACGTCTTTCTCTAATATTTCCTAACGCATCTATCAATACAAAATGGTCTGATTCAATAAAACAGACATTTGATTCGAATGCACCTAGTGTAATTAATCATCAAACTTGTAAATTAGAACAACTATCACCTTCACTTATTCAAGCACATTTTCAATTAGAATCAAATCGATCATTTGAAAGAGAAAATACGTTCACTAATTATGTTCGTCAATGGTGGCGTGAATTAACACAATTGCGTGAAGGATTCTTTTCTGAACGTCTTATTAAAATATTTGCAGCTGATGAGAATGGACGTACACAGTTAGTTTGCTTTTAAAAGTGTGTTTACATTATTATTAATTTATATTAAAGAGCAACGGACTTAACAAACTAATTTGAAATATTTAAGTACTATACAAAATGTGATATCTTGCTTTTCAATTCTGTGAAATAAATATTTTGATAACAGATAAAACTGTTTAACATCCTCTTCAGTGTATACTGTAAGAAATAACGATTGTTTTTGTCTAAAAATACTATACGTACTTACGCCTTTTACCTGTCGTGAAGCAGCATAGGCCACTCAACAACACTCCCCACTCAACCATGTCATGAACAATCCTTTCCAGTTCTTCACGGATGTTGTTCATCTTCTTCATGTCTGTTTACGATTCCCAACGTAGTGTGTTCTTCGACCTTCCTCTTTTCAGTTCCCCTTCACGATTCCAAGTTAGTGTTTGCTTGGTGATACAGTTTGATGATTTCCGTAATCTATGTCCTATCCATCTCCAACGTCTTTTCCTAATTTCCTCTTCATCTGGAATTTGGTTTGTTCTCTCTCACAGTAGATTGTTGCTGATGGTGTCCGATCAACGGATATTGAGTATATGCGAATATTCGTCAAGATTAGAACGAATAGTTTGACAGATATTGGGCGCCGAGTATAAAGAAGTCATTATATATGTAAATTATATTTGAAATAATCTCAGCGATTGAAATTTAAATAATTCCAACGTTTCGTCCAGCTAACTTGTCTGGACTTCTTCAGGGTAATAATCAAGTCCAGACAAGTTAGCTGGACGAAACGTTGGAATTATTTAAATTTCAATCGCTGAGATTATTTCAAATATAACTTACATATATAAGGATATTGAGTATCTTGCATGGAAAATTGTTTAAAATACTTGTACCTTCTTGATGGTGGTTGTTGTAGTTTTCCAAGTTTCAGCTCCGTACAGTAGAAATGTCTTGACGTTCTTATTGAAGATTGTGACTTTGATATTGGTTGACAGTTGTTTTGAGTTACATACGTCCTTCAATTGTAGGAATGCGGCCCTTGCTTTACCAATCCTTGCCTTTACGTCTGCATCAGAACCTCCTTGTTTATCGACGATGCTTCCTAGGTATGTGAAGGACTCCACATATTCCAGAGTTTCGCGATCAAGAGTGATTGGATTGCTGTTCTCCATGTTGAATTTGAGGACCCTGGTTTTCCTCTTTGTGCATGTTGAGGCCTACTGATGCAGAGAATGCTGCTACACTGGCTGTCTTTATGTGCATTTGTTCGTGTGTATGTGATAGGAGGGTTATGTCATCTGTGAAGTCCAAATCGTCTAATTGTTTCTGAGCTGTCAATTGTATGCCATGTTTTCCCTCAGATGTCGAGGTCTTCATAATCCAGTCGACCACCAGAAGAAAGAGGAAGGAAGTGGGTAGACAGCGTGATGCAGAGAATGCTGCTACACTGGCTGTCTTTATGTGCATTTGTTCGTGTGTATGTGATAGGAGGGTTATGTCATCTGTGAAGTCCAAATCGTCTAATTGTTTCTGAGCTGTCAATTGTATGCCATGTTTTCCCTCAGATGTCGAGGTCTTCATAATCCAGTCGACCACCAGAAGAAAGAGGAAGGAAGTGGGTAGACAGCGTGATGCAGAGAATGCTGCTACACTGGCTGTCTTTATGTGCATTTGTTCGTGTGTATGTGATAGGAGGGTTATGTCATCTGTGAAGTCCAAATCGTCTAATTGTTTCTGAGCTGTCAATTGTATGCCGTGTTTTCCCTCAGATGTCGAGGTCTTCATAATCCGTCGACCACCAGAAGAAAGAGGAAGGAAGTGAGTAGACAGCCTTGTCTGACTCCGGTTCTTACTTGGAATGTGCCTGTCAGCTGTGCTCCATGCACTACTTTGTACTGTAGTCCGTCGTATGAGTTCCGGATAATATTGACAATCTTCTCAGGAACTCCGTAGTGTCGAAGAGGTTTCCATAACGTTCTCCTATCTACACTGTCAAATGCCTTCTCATAATCAATGAAGTTGATGTAGAGTGACGAGTTCCACTCAATTGATTGTTCGACGATGATCCGTAGTGTCGCAATCTGGTCTGTGCACGACCGGTCCTTACGGAGTCCAGCTTGTTGATCTCAAAGTTGAGCGTCTACTGCATCTTTCATCCTGTTCAGTAACATTCTGTTAAAGACTTTTCTGGTATTGACAGTAGTGTAACGCCTCTGTAATTTTCACATGTGCTCAGATCTCCTTTCTTTGGAATCTTGATGAGGTGTCCTTCTTTCCAGTTCATCGGCACTTGTTCCTCCTCCCAAATCTTCTTAAATAGAAGGTGAAGCGTGCTTGTAGTTACTTCGATGCCTGACTTCAGTGCTTCAGCTGGTATATTGTCGGCTCTTGCTGCGTTCCCGCACTTGATTTGTCTGATGGCCATTCTGATTTCTTCGGTCGTTGGTGGATTGACATCTATAGGAAGATCTGTGTGTGCTGCTTCGATGTCCGATGGATTCACTGGCGCCGGCCTATTCAGGAGTTCCTCGAAGTACTCTGCCCATCTGTTGCGCTGTTGTTGAATTTCAGTGAATGGCCTTCCTTCTTTGTCTTTGACTGGTCTCTCTGGTTTACTATATTTCCCTGCTAGTTTCTTCGTTGTATCGTAAAGCTGTCTCATATTTCCTTCTCTTGCAGCCTTTCCGCCATTGGTGCCGGCTTTTTCACGTATTTCTGCTTGTTGGCTTTAATGTTATTCTTCACTTGCTTGTTTGCTTCTATGCACTCAGCTTGTGCTTGGACTTTCTCTGCTCGTGTTCGGCTGTTGTTAATTGCTGTCTTCTTGTTTTTCCTTTCTTTGATCCTGTCCAGTGTTTCTATAGAGATCCATTCCTTGTGATGATGCTTCTTGGGGCCCAGAATCTCTTGACACGTTGAAGCTAACTCTTCTTTTATACCTTTCCAGTTATCCTCCATAGTAGTTTCTTCTTCGTTCAGTAGATCCTGTAGGAATTGAAACCTGTTGTTGAAAGCTATCTTGAATTCATTGAGTTTGTCAGTATCTCGAAGAAAGACTGTATTGAACCTTTTCAGAGCTGTTTGTCCAGTTGTCCATTGCTTCTTTAGCTTCAGTCTGATCATGTCAACCAACAGTCTGTGGTGATCTGGAGCTATATGAGCTTTTCTCCTGGTTCTCACATCTTCCATTGTCATTCGGAATTTTTTATCGATGCAAATACGATCTATCTGGTTCTCTGTAGTATGGCTAGTGAGAACAATGTAGCTTTGTGTATACATTTGTGTGAAAATATTGTGCCACCTATAACCCGTTTTCGTTCCTCTCTCCCAGTCCATGTCGTCCCATGATGTCTTCATATCTGGTGTTGTACATTCCGACTTCGGCGTTTAGATCTCCCATCAGAATGGTGAGGTCCTTTCTTGGGCACTTCTCTATGATTGATTGCAGTCTCTCATAGAATTGATCTTTAATGTCGTCGTTGCTATCATTGGTGGGTGCATAACATTGGATAATGTTCATTGTGATCCCCTCCTTCTTTGTTTTGAATGATGCTTTGATGATTGTGGATCCGTGAGATTCCCATCCTGCAAGTGCATTTTGTGCTACTTTGGACAGCATTAGAGCTACTCCTTGAGTGTATGGGGCATTTTCCTCTTCGTGACCGGAGTATAGCAGCATCTCTCCCGTATTTAGCCTTTGTTATCCAGCTTGTGTCAAATGGGTTTCGCTGATTCCCAGTACTGATAAGTTGTATCTCCTCATTTCCGTTGCTATTTGACTGGTGTTCCCGGTCTCCCACATTGTCCGGACGTTCCATGTACTCATAAAAATTGTTGCTCTGGTAGTTAGAAGGGGCATCGGCCTCGTGACTTCCGAAGGAACTCGGCTTTCACCATGAGGTGTCATATTTCTTCTAAATGAAGACCTTCTAATTCCCAGGGCAGAGTTTAAACGGTTTGAGTTTTTTTCTGGTTAGCGTTTTTAGTGAGTTAGTTTTCTGCGGGATGGGTACGCTAACCCCATGCCCAACCCTCATCCTTTACCGGGGCTTGAGACCGGCAGTAACTCTAGAAGGGCTACAGGTGGAGGTAAAAATGCTATTTTGGCAGTATATTTCACTGATCTTCATCCTATATAGCTGTTATGAAGTCTACTGCAGTTATTTAAAACATATGTCAGTATTTTATATCGAACTTAAACTAATGAGCTTTAAAAATCATTGATTTATTTCAATGTACATGTTGTCAAACGAAGAGTTGATCAAAATAAAGATTCTATTCTTAACGAGCTTTTACTTTCGGTCAGATTATTTAGTCTAAAAAACGTGATACATTTATGCCACCCTTGAGTAAAAACATGAGAAGCATCTTTTTAATATTATTTTAATGTTGTATGATACAAAATCTACTTTTTTATGTGATACCATAGGTATATTTGTTATGGAAAATTATTTTCACAAATTTCTTTTCATTTTATTAGATTTGTGTGTAACTTCGTAAATCCACTCAGTGCAAGTCATATTCTTGAAACACCATATATAGCCGCACGCTTCGTTTCAAGTATACCCTATGAACCCTTTTACGGCGTCGGGGTTGGGATAAAAGAACGTTGGTGTTCTGGTGAGTGTAACTGAACACCACCTTCCTACCCAACTTTTATTTTTTTCATTCCTTTTAATACTACTAGACGTTTCGTTTTGGACCCGTAAATAGCATTTTTTTTATTCTTACATAAATACTATCATTCGAACACAAACGTTTAATTGCTTTCTGAGCTAGATCAAACTACAACTTAATTAAATTGATGTGTATTTGAGTAGTGAAAATGAAGTAGACAGAATGATTGTGAAAGATGGTCATATGAAAATTGTTATTCAAAGTCAGTTCTAACTCTCAATCATTCAAATTCTCCAGGAAATGTATTACTAGTTAAGGACTTTTAATCTGCCTGTTGTTTATATCACTTTATGTGAGTATATGAGATCCTTGAATAGACTTATCAGTGTTGTCTGTATTTACAAATTCTACTTAGGTCAATGTATGTACAGAATTCTACTGTTGCTCATTGTTCAAACCATAGTCGTTATATTATGATCTATAAAACTGTAATAGTGATAATTTCATAGAGATAATAAAGCTTATGCTCTTAATCATTTAATATTTTTGTTCTAGAGGAAATATTAAGATGGTGTGCTGAAAAATATCCATTTCAATTTTTCATTTAGCAGTTATTTATCTCTTCATATTACAGAACATGAAAGACCTGGTGGATTTAGTCACTTGTGTAGTGGTCATGTTCCCTGAAGCATGTTCATCCACAATTCGGTAGTCGTTCTCAACAGTGAATTATTAATTTGACAGCCTCTATCATTCTAGTATTTTATTAAACAGATTAAGCTTTTTGATGCTTATTCCTGCAGTTTTACTCGAACTTACAATATAAACATTCATGTTTATTTAAAACTTTCTTTAGTGATTATATATCCCTTTTTTCTAGGATTGGCTTTTGTTTCTTCAAACTCTGGAGATGTAGCAGATCATGCAAACCTTTTATGTTCTCTACTACTGGGTTATGGAGTTGAAGCATACGTTGCTTTAGGCACAAGTGAATTCAATATGAATAAGCAGCAAATGACTACTTCCTCACATTTATATGCATGGGTCGTTGTTTGTTCTGTAAGTTTTTACTAAGTAGTTGAAAAATTCAGACGTAGATCAGAGGAATAATATATTTGGATTCAGATAGCGGCAAGTAGTGGAGTCCAGGGCCCAGATTTTGTCCCTTGAATGTAAATGAAAAATGATAGTCTCTAATTTGACTACTGCTAAGTAGTATTTTGTCATACCTCTAAATTATCCAACAACTTTCAAGCAGCTTTCGATGGGTATACAGAAAAAAATTTTGTGTAGCATTCTTTCAGTCCTTACGTCCCCTCTTTTACGTACTATTCTTTAAAGAATGTAATTTTAGAAGCTATGTATTCCATGTTTCATTATTTTATTTATCTATAATCCGGTGAAGTCCATGAGCACAGTATTTAGATAATTCATTATGAATTTTCGTTTCGGGATTAGAATAGTCATTTATAACACAGTTTATTGCTTAAATTTACCCATTTGTTGCGATTTAATCGTTGCCATGAGTTTCAATATAATTAAAACATTTTTTTGATCATTTGACTCTTGTGCATATTATCATGAATAACAATGAAATGTCGCAAAATACCTTCTGGGAGCATCTGTCAAGTTATCAATACATAAAAATGTCTGATAAATGATATTTAACTGTAACTAATTAAGAACGTGGCATCATTCTGGTTTGTTTGATGACGCTTCATGCTTTCAACTTTAAATTCTAGGACGATTATCAACGAATCACATTTTGGGATAGTATAACCGGTCGTTGTTATATTCATACAACTGATTGTTGTGAACAGAAAATCTATCCTTCTCCGTTCCATACCATTGGATGTTTATACAATAATAGTTCATTTTATGCCAACATTCAACCAACTGATAAAGTAGTAAACTGTCTTTTTAATTTAAAGGTGGGTATTTAAATGTTTTTACTTTGATTTTAATTCAAAAGTATTGGAAAAAATATCTATAATATTTGTACTAGTAACAATTTTGTTTTAACACGTTACAACATGCTAAATTATGAAACAGTTTACTTGAACATTTTCAAATTTGTGAAAACTTCCTTTGCAATTTTTTGAAGTTTTTAACTTAGAAAAATGATTAGTTAACTTGTTGTTCCTTGAGTTAGGTTGTTTGATAAAAACACCTCGTTTCTAAGTTGTACAGGGCTCCATATGTTAACGAAGTTATTAAATTACTTGAAAACTCCCTAACTTAATGTTTATTACAAAGTCCCGTTGAAATGGCTGGTATTTCAACGTAAAATCACACCAATTACAAAAAGATGATCAGCTTTATATTTATGTGAAGTTAGTTCATCAAAAGCTTCTTATCTTAAAAGTGATAGATAGTCATTCAATGATATATTTAATTTAGAAATTACAAAAGAATACCATAGTAAGAACTAGAAAAGCAGTCAGCTCAGAGACAGATAATCTTCCGTTAATAAAACAAACAAGAAATATATAATATAATATTGTTGGGGTATTCAGAAAATACCCCAGAAATTATCTAGTGCTATTCCTGAATGAGAAATAGCGTCATTGCCCCATTTGGTCAACATTCTTCCAACGTGTTATTTCCCTATTGGTCAATATTTATTTGTGTCATTTCCTGAAGGTTAAATCTTGTACAAATGTTACTTTCTATTTTATGGTACGATGTAGTCTGTTTGATTGCTATATAAACAGAGTATGTTTGAAATATAATGATTCATATCTCCGAGGCTGAGACTTGTGTTCTGGACTCAATTGGCTGGGCTAGACAGGGAAGCAGGACCAATCAGGACTCTAGGCTGCTCGCTCGTGTTTTATGCGTCACTGTTTCGATCGATAATAACATTAGATGTAAAAAACAAACACGTGATATAGGATAGTTTTAAGTATGCTAGTTCATTAATTGTTTAGGTAGTACATGTATTACAGCGATCCAGTGCATCAACTGGGAACTTTTAATTTTTCCTAAGTGGACAGCCTGTTGATTTATGAATGGTGTAATTAAGGTCATTTCCTGTGCCAGATTAAATTTATGATAATTACCTACAACTAGAGAAAATAAAACGAAAACAGAGAACACGGAACAACAAAGCAATAATTACCAAAATGCATGTGTCATGTGACAGTGATATACTGTTGATGTTAGATATTATTCAAATTAGTTAAGGTTGCTAGGGCCAATGTTAACGTAAAGTGGCAGCAGGTAGGTGGTTTTACTTAGGGAATTCACATTTAAAGTTTCTATAATATTATTTGTGGAATAAGATACACTTACAGGTGTTAGAACATTTAATGCATTTTCAGAAGAGCGGTATGCATCACTGCATCAATAAAACAAACAAGAAATAAGCTGTAAATAATAACAACTGATAGCGGAAAAAAATTATAAAGCTGTCCATTATTTTTGTTATAACAAGTTTGCAGTTTTTTCTTACAAAACACCTTGCTCTTAGTGTTATAGCACCAATCATGATAAGTTATATTAAATCAAAGCTGAAAGACGTTCATTACAAGCTGATGCAAAGAAATATATTGATATCACTTAAAATTATGAACACACTAAAAATGATAAATATATCAGTATATGAAGAATATCCTAAAAGTTCGAAAGCTTCGATTAATAATTTAACACATCTGGCATATAAACGTTTGACACTGAATTTTTAACTTCTTCTTGTCTTTAGTCTTGAGCCCTGAACGGAAGAAAAAAGGCAAGAAATGTCGAAGAGATCTGTGTTTCTATTTTATGCTGTTAACAACTACCTATCTGGAGTTTCTTTACAAGACTGATTAAACACAGGGATTTCCAATTTAATAAAATGAAGCAACATTCAGACTAGCAGTTACTAGCACTTTTTATTATTCTGATTTTTAACTCTTCTGCTTGTACAATTTAAATACGAGATATGCGCGAAGCGGGATTTCTAGGCTTCATATAAATACACAACCCATAGCTAGTTTTTTTTCTGGATGACTAATTGTGATTTTCGACTGGTTAATGATACCCCAATAATTACTAAATTAATAGAGATCTTACAATTAAAACAATAAGAAAATAATAGTAAGAAGATGTGTGATAGGCACTCACAGAATATACTTTAATTGATTCTGTATTTTTCTTTATCTCATTTTTTCTATACTATTAACTATTCAGTCACTGAACAGTGAGTATTTCATATTCTCTCTAAACTTAGCTTCAAAAAGATACTTTATTTTATACTTTTTTTATTGAATCTTAATCTTTTTTTCCCATTTTTTCATAACTAGAATTCATCTCAGTGGCGTCCTATGTCATTTGAAGTCATTCAAACAGTACATAATTACTCAGGTTTATACCTTAGAAAATTGAATCCTCCTATTCAGTCTATTGATGAGATTACTGTAAAATGTCATGAATCCTTACGTCGTTTAGCCGATAGTTGGCGTATGGAGAAATTAAGATGTAATAATCATATTACATGGAAATGGGATAATAAACTGGAACAATTATTATTACCTTTGATTGCTAAATATGAAGCCGATCAAAAAAATTTATCAAACTATAATGATAATGATAACGTTGTACAAGTACACGAGGTATTAGAAAATGATTTGATTATGTCACCAATTCATCGTCATATACCTAAAGATTTTACATTCAAATCTTATCCAGTCCAGGTAAACTCTAAAAGAACATTTATAAAGATTGATATTTGAATTATTCTTTGATTACCAAGAGTTTTTATTCGAGTCACCATTACATTGCGATTGAGTTTGAAGAGAAAAGTACTGAGCTCGAGTCCCAAATAGGACGAAACGCGCGTCTTGGATTACATTGCTAGCCACAATCTATCTCTGTTGATTATCATATAATTTTATTAATTAACAACTGGTGCTTACTACCACGAGTTATCATAAATATTAAATGTCAACGTACTCTGAATGTGTATGAAGTTGAATTTGATTAAGTTAATCTTGACTAAGTATGAAGATTCCAAATCATCCTGGATATAATAAATGTAACGAATTAATTATGGGTAAAATAATCAGTTAACCATCCTGTTTCTTACACTTTATCTAATAATTTTTAGTCACTAAGATTTCTCCTGGTTAAATATTTGATAGAAAAATAATCACATTATATTCAAAACAGTCTTTCTTGGAATCTGTATTCACTTGTTAACGCTTTAAAAGATTTAAGTTCAATAAGCCGTGAAACCATCGAGACATTCCATAACCACTTGTCTTTTCGATCTGTTTGTCCAATTAATTAAAAAAACCCAGAACATGTGCAACAAATTGTAGTTTAAATTATTCCTAACTGTTGGATTATATGCTGCCTTAAACCTTTTATGGGTCCTGGGTTCGAAACTCGCAGGGGGCGGGCTCGTGGATGCGCATTGTTGAGGTGTCCTGTACTAGAACGAAACGACCGTCCAGTGCTTCAAGGTTTTCCCTAGTGGTTTAGCTTCAGTTGACTCATGATTTCAACTAGTGAAATTTCTAAAATCTCCACAAAACCCCTTCTGATTTTATTATTTAGACAGAACTGTAAAAGGAATTTAAAGAACAGGGAATCGAAAGAAATCAATTAACATTGTATTTAAAATTAATAAGCCTAAGGGTTTACAGTAATTGAAAAGTTGTTTTGATTATACTTGAGTGTTAGTTTAAACAAAGTTGAGGACAAAAGATTACTGAATAGATATATAGGCTTTGTTTTCTATGTGTCAATCTTTTAAATTATTAAATAAATTACTGAAGGTTGATGTATTCCATCTTAATCCACTTTTCAAGTAAACTTTTTGTTTTCTGAGATCATGATTTTTCCTTATAACAATAATGCCTGTCAACTGATGTGAAAACACTATGTTATTACTTCATATAGTAGTACTGTTTAGAATTGAATTTTCCATACTTATTCTATTTCAGCTAACATTGTTTATTAAGAATGATGTTAATTGAATGTAGGTAACTTAAAATCTTTATAGTATTATATAAAAATTAATATTAATTTAAATTAGTTAACCTATTTATGGCTTTCGAGTTAATGGTTAGCTAGGTAAGCATGTTGATCAAAGAATTCTTTAATTAAAATGAAGATTAACTAGCGTCAAATCTTTCAGTAATGTTATAGAAACTTTTTAGCGATTTTTTGAAGGAATTATATCGAAATCGTCTTAGCGGAATAACCTGAAATTAGAAATGAGTGATTTATATGATTGAAGTGAAGAACCGCCAATATACTTATAAATAATCCAGTTTAAAAGGATACCAAAATAATTCTCACTAGTTCATACAACAATTAGATACTGTTTTCAGCTAAAAGTAAGTATCTGAGAGAAGAGTTGCAAAACTTTAAACACGAAATGGCCTCAATGTAAATAAATTATTCTAAACTTGAAAATGAGGAAGTTTGCCTATGAATGGTACTGGGTTCAAGTCCCATAGTGAACATCAACTCTGAGATGCAGAACAGTCGAGCTATTTATAAGCCATGAAATTATAAAACTAATTTATACTTGTAAACTGTAAATTTCATCTTTTAATAATCGTTGATTAATACCTTGGGTATGACAACGCGATGTTTGTTGAAAATAACTTACATTGGGAAACATCACTATGTTAATCTGGTCACACTACATTATGAAGTGTTGCAATATCACTAAACCGATATGGATTGATTTTCTTGTTAATTTATTGACTAAAGTAATTTTGAGAATATCCAGAACGACTTATTATTATTTGGGTCAAATAATTTTCACGGTACAACCCAGAAGATAAGATGGTGGTTGGAGGTAGTCAACAGGAAACCCTGGACTCGTGTTTCGTGCTACATGGCACTCATCAGCAAGGTGTACCTGTGATATTGAGGGAACTGGTGCTCCCAGACGAAGTCGATCCTGTGTCACCCAGCTTCACAGTCAGAGACGTTACCACAGGGCTATCCGGGCCGCGACCGACCTCCTGTAAGACTGAGGTGTAAACACGATTGATTAATCATTGGGTGGTGATCAATGTCATGTGTGTCAAGTCTTTCTTATTGCAAATTGAATGCTATCGACCAGAAGATAATAATGAAGCGTTATCACAACTGTGAAAGAGATACAATATTTGGATAGTTAATTTGATATTATTATATTTTGCAATATTAAATTTTATTTGTTGTCAACATATCTATGTTTATTTTCCTTCTCCTACATTTGTTTCTTAGCTATTGCATTGTAATCCTCAAAGAATATTACGAAGTTGTTTACGTTCCCAATTATGTCAGGATATACTAGGCTGTCGTGGTGATCATGTTCAACTTGCCTTAGCATTACGCGTTATTACATATGCTGAAAATGCAATTATAACATGGGTTATATTTGCCTGTTCATATAAATCTGTAATATAAATCCAATCATAACTTTTTTTCAAAAGATGATTACAAAGAGTACTCATGGTAAACCCTTTAGTTCGTTGTAAACAATGCCCTTGTTCATAATGCACATATGATTGTTAATGGATTGATAGTTCTTCATTTCCATAATGTTTTCAGTTTAACTCCTGTGTCTATACTAATTTTTCTCCCAATTGTTCATATCTGTTTAACTTGAGACTTTCTGAGAGGAATGAAAAACCAGTGTACTAACTTTTGTAAATTAGTTTTTTTTAATTTAGAACTCATCAATTGTAATTTGTAACGGTTTGGATTATTCCGTTGTTGATATTTTGACTGAAATTCGATCAGTCTTGGTTGACATGTAGATCGCTTTGATATGGCCATTATTATATAAGCTTATTTACAGTATACAAAATGTGGCTTCGAGTCGCGGAGTGAACTTTAACTCCGGGATGTCGATGAATCCAGTTATTTATTTGCACATCCTGAATTTCACTACTAGCCACATTCCATCTACCCTACATAATTTATGGTTCATTAGTTTAGAAAAATACATTTTTTATAAAAATTATATTCAGAAGTTTGAAGTGTATCTTACGTCCACAGTATCTTAAATGACCAATGTCATGTTTGTGTAGATGTTGCCAACGACTGAATTTGGCAAATCGCATTTCGCTGTAGATACTGGTGATTAAATCCAATTCCTTGGTTTAGATTTGTTCTGTTGGTGTTCATCATCGAGATATCTCTTCAATCTTGAAGGAATCAATTATCTGCTTGGGACTCAAACCGTTCTAAAAACCAAACATTTTACTACTAAGAAATTATACTCTCGACTTACATACTACAGGACTAAGATCGACAAATTATTAGTAACCAATGTCATATTTTGTATGGATTTATACTGAACAATCAGTAAATAGTGTTTATGAATGAGTGGTGAATAGTTCCGAACCAAATTCAGGATATACTACCTACCATTACTAACTACCTGGCAAAATGTGACTTATTTTATAAAATATTATTATGTATAAATGAAAATGTTTATTTATCCTCTTTTCAATCTTATTTTCTAATACGGAATCTGCTTTCTTTTTAATTTAACATACATTTTGCATAAAAACTTCAAAAATAAATTTGTTACTCAATTGAATTTATTTCTATTATTTTAACTGAAGGTATAGACGGAATAAACTAAGCACTCACTAATGATATTATGGATTATTTATTGATAGTTGACAAATAGAGTCCTTTGAATACTGTTTTAATGTATAATTGTTCAAATCATAATGTCTCTGAAGAGGCTAGTAGTTAATAAAGACTTCCATTAATGTGACTGTTAGATGAAGTGCAATATAAAGATTTATGCATAAATTTTTCACTTTAGATATCATTATCATCAGAGCTTTAGATATCTGGATAGAATAGGGAGCTATTTGTAAGGTTACATTTAACCATTAATCATGGTACAGATGGTAGATTTCATAAAACCTAAAATATTTAACCATATATTTGTTCTTAAAGTTCTTATCTGTTAGAGATTCTACTTTCTGAATAGAGAAAATAGTTACTTAATTACGCTTGTTACCCCTCATGGAAGAACATAGGCTTCCCACCATCATTGTTCATCAACTCTGTTTCGGACAATCCTTTCCAGTTTGTTCCAGTTGCTATTTGTCCTTTCGATGTCTTCTTTTAATTCTCAACACACTATGTTCTTTGGCGTTCCTCTTTTCCGTTTCCCCTCAGGATTCCAAGTTAGCGCTTGTCTCGTGATTCAGTTTGATGATTTGCGTAATGTTTGTCCTATCCACTTCCAACTTCTTTTCCTAATTTCCTCTTTATCTGGAAGCTGATATGTTCACTACCACAATAGGCTGTTGCTGATGGCATACAATCAAGGGACATTGAGTATCTTGAGTAGACAATTGTTTACAAACAGTTGTACATGTTTGATGATAGTTGTGGTAGTTCTCTAAGTTTCAGCTCCGTACAATATAGCTGTCTTAACGTTTGTATTGATGATTTTCACTTTGATATTGGTTGACAGTTGTTTTGAATAGAGAAAATAAGTGTCATATTTTGTTATTAGTGAAATATCAACCTATAGACTGGGAACAAGATGTGTTCTAAGGAATGGAATAATAATTTTCATTAATAAAAATGTAATGGATAATAAAGAGTTTACATGATAAACTTCTTTTTTGTTCGTCCACTGGTTCTGTTTGTTCAAATATGAATCAGTGTATTCACATATGACCTAACACCGAGCAAAACATCATTAGGATTCTATACAGCTAGCAATATACATCTTTTTGTACTTGCTTACTAGTAGAATTAATATTCTGTTTTTCAAAATTCGCGAGTATTTGTTTATACTTTGAAACAAGTGAACTTGGAGAATGAACATGATTTCTTTGGAAATGAATGTTAACATATTATCAGAACAGGGTTTACAACAAATTATATCATCTCAAGGTGCTGAGTGAATTAATCGATTGATGAAAGAAACGAGTGCTAAACAATAACTATTACTTCATTCTTATGTTGCTGATGTTGAGTAAACTGAAAAATCATCAGAAGACAACTGAAATGTTGCAAAATACAATTCTTTACATGCGTTTTCTTAATCAACGTGAAATGTTAGTTTAGATATTAGCTAGTAATAGAATACAAGACGCATATTTTGACATCTGGATATGTTTACATATCAATGTTGATTTTTCTATCGAGATTTGTACTCAGTACCTAGTACTTTAGATACCATTAAGTCATCCACTAGGCTACTGAACTTCAGTAACTATCAAATGATACATTCAGCTAATGATTTAGAACTAGTATGCCCCATTGATTTCATTACCAGTCATTATTAAAAAGATAATTATTCTCTGGAAATAAGCGATTTTGAAGTATATGTGAATGAATTTAAATCTGAACTAAAAGAATTTCTATCTCATATATCAACACTATAAGATTATTTTGAATCTATCCATCGCCTGTAAGTCAATTTATTCACTTTTTTTCTAATTTTAACATCATTCATTAACTTTTATATCATAGAATAATAAAGTAAGTTTGTAACGTTTCAATGATTGATCAATCAATCAATATTTTCACATTCAAACTAATAATAATCAATAATTTCTAAATACAAAAATTAAATAATATTATTGAAAATTTAATCTTTTAAAAAGATTTATTCAATATATTATAAATAAATATTAAAATTTTTAATGTTTGAGATTATGAGTCAAATTGAAATTAAACCACCATGGTTAACCTGGAATCACTAATCGTGGATGCTTTACTTCTGAAGAGTCCCATAATTGGATGTAAATGATCATCTAGTGTTTCATGGTTTTTCATGATGATTTAGTTTCATTAAATATAATTTATATTTTATTAAAATTCAATGAATATTAATTTATGTAATTGTAAATAAAATTATCATTTAAGTAAGAAATGTAGTTCAATTTACCGATATAGATATAGAGATATAGATATACTTTAACTTACATGAATAAATTTTACAAATTGACTGTTAATCTTTCTAAAATAGTCGGAAGACCTGAAAACATTTAGAAATTTATTTCAATTATCTATCAGTGAATTATTGAAAAATGACCTTAATTAGATTGATTAATATTGAATTTAATAGTTTATATAACTTATTAGTTATTTATTGCATTCAATCATTAAAATTAATTATGATTATGCTTTATAATAATCTAATTTTGATAAATTTTAAAATTTTCTGAATGCTTTCAAACAAGAAAATGTCATATATATATATATATATATATATATATATATATATATATATATAAGCGTTCGCTCGCGAGACTGAAGGCCCTGAGTTTAAATCCCGCGAGCGGGATCGCGGATGCACACTGCTAAAGAGTCCCACAATAGGATGAAGCGGCCGTTTAGTGCTTCCAGGTCTCCAACGGTGGTCTAATATCAATCGGTTCATGATCTCAATCTCAACCCCTATACTGATATATATATATATATATATATATATATATATATATATATATATATATATATATATATATATATTGCTCTGTTGGAGTTTTATTTCATATTGAAGTTTATTCCAACTATGACAGGATGAGCTTACAACATAAGATTGTTTATTTTTTTAGCGAATAAGTATTAACTAGAAAAGTGTAATGAACAGTTACTTTTTTACCTCATTTGGAAATCGTCAAGAGATCTCTAAAAGACTTCTAGTTATCATGATGAGATAGTGTTCTTTAAACCACTTGTTTTTAATTAGATTATTTAAATTTCCACCTTCAAGCGGTTCTATAAAACTGAAAGAATTCTTGATACAATCGCTGGTAAATCTGGATCTAAACATTATAGATATACATGTGTTATTTATCGATAAGTATTTTTTAATTTATTCAAACACACATCTGAAAGTAAACGATTCAAGAGTAAATAACCAATAGGGAATATTTAGCTGGCATGAAATATCTGGATGCCTCTTAAAATTGAGAACTACAGGCGGATACCTTGCCCTATATAGTATACAGAATATTGATTGTTTTTGTAGAAGAAAATACTTGATTATCTAATGAAAGGCTGAGTTACTCACAAATACAGTTACATATCACTATTTGAGGACAAGTCAGCTGACTGATAATGAAAATTTGTTTAAAATGTGGTCTGTAATATTATGTATATCTTATTTTAAGCTTAACATTGGCTTAGTATCATATTTCTTTTTCAAATACATGGGGCATTCTTATACATGTATCATATTATTACATGTTGAATCACTTGAAAATAAAAATAATGTCAGATCCTGATTATATTGATGTCATATGCATCCTGATGGTATGAAGTTGTCAATATTTTAATGGTTAATTCGAATAAATAGTTTATGCGCATAATTTAAACGCATCTTTATCAAAATCAGAACAAAGCTCGGCTATTAATGATTGATAATCATACATCCAACTTTGTTGTTTTTTCTTAACCATCCACTGATTAATTGAGAA